TTGGGATGACACTGACATCTAGTGGAGTTAATGTTTCCAAGCTCTTCAACTTAAAAACACACCTCACGCATCAGCACCGCCGCCGCCATCCACAGCCAGCACGGCCGCCCAGAGCCGCCGCCGCCATCATTCTGTGCAATGTCAAGCCAGTAACGGCCACCACGCAGGGCCCTGCCCGGACTGTGGCCGTCTTTCCCTCACCCGCCACAGTGCAAATCCATCGTGCCATCAGCTTCTTTCCTGACCCTCATTTCCGCCCCCACTGACGATATCTGAGCAGCTGGCATCCATTTCCGTGATGGTTTACTCTCAGATTGCTCTCCAAGATCAAGGAGAAAGAGAACAAACACCGGTGACACGCTCGCTCACGGGCAGGCCATCATACCACAAGACACGTTAACGACCATGTAATTAATGGTGAATCTGATCACCACGACAGTGAGCTTGTGCTGGCTCTGCACCTGCCCTGCAGGCTTCCCGGCCCTCTCGCTGGGCCACTCCATGAGCACGCACGCGTTCGCGCGTCTGCCGCTGAGTCAGCGAGAAGAGGCCCCCTCATCTCTCAGTCCTCTGCCCCCTCTCAGCAGAGCCCCTCTCCTTTCCCTCTAAACCACTGTCCTTTTTTTTTTTTTTTTTTTTTTTTGAGACAGAGTCTCACTCTGTGCCCAGGCTAGGGAGTGCCGTGGCGTCAGCCTAGCTCACAGCAACCTCAGACTCCTGGCTCAAGCGATCCTCCTGCCCTCAGCCTCCGAGTAGCTGGGACTATAGGCATGCGCCACCATGCCGGCTAGTTTTTTTTTGTGTGTGTGTATATATAATAACTATGTATCATGCTTAATTTTTTATTTTTTTTTAAGTTGGTCAATTAATTTCCTTTCTATTTTTGTAGGGAGATGGGGGTCTCGCTCAGGCTGGTTTCGAACTCCTGACCTTGAGCAATCCACCTGCCTCGGCCTCCCAGAGTGCTAGGATGACAGGCGTGAGCCACCACGCCGGCCCTAAACCACTGTCCTTGAGTACGGGCTGACTCCGGCAGCTAGTGTCCCTCCTGGGCACGGAGCAAAACCAGGGCTCTGCGGAGAGCGGAGGTTAAGCAAATATTTATTTATTCACTGAGTTGTTATTTTGATTCTCTCTGCCTCAAAGCGTTCTCCTCTGCAAGCCCCCTGGGTTGTCAGCGGCACCTTGGGCAGGGTCCAGGATAGAATCACCTGGCTGGTGGCAACTGCAGAGCTGCCCTTACAAAGGGTAGGACGAGGATGTGCCGTGGCTTCCTTCTAAACGGCCCCACTTTAAAAATACTTCCTGGTTTATTATTTATCGCATTAGAATAGAAACTAAAGCCACTTAAGCAAAGTAAATGTGGCCCTTGAAAGGTGCTGGGACGGGGTGGCAATGACACACACAGAGGACAATCTCATCACCACGGTAACAAGCAGCAGCCCACCCTCCGCCCCCCGCGGCATCTTTGGGAATTGGCTTCTCGAGCCCACTGAGTCATGAGTGAGTGCGCAACCGGTTCTGCAAGCTGGCCCTTCTCCCCCGAAAGCCCCCGGCCTGGGTGTACACAGGGGGTTGCAGGTGGGATCGGCAGAGCCGGGGAGTGTAATAGCTACGCGGGTGGCTGCCGTCAGTCTGTGAGTGTCTGAAGAAGTCCCACAAGGAAACATTTTATTTAGGTACAAATTTAAGCGTATCAGACTTTCACCCATATTTTGCAGAAACCTAAATATTGACCTCCCAGTCTTTCGAGTGGTCCTGCAACTACTTTTGCCTAACACTGGCAGAGATCATTGTCATAATGGAAGCACCAAGTCTCTTCTGCCCCTCGCAGCAGTACTATGGTTTCCGGCTCAGAGAGGTTACGTGACTTGGGTAAGGTCAAACAGCAGCTGGCAGTGGTGGGGGTCGGGGTCAGAGCCTGGTGTGTGTGAGTCACGTCCGCTCTGACTCAGCATCTTTGGGGGCTGGCGTGGCGCCGGGCAACCAGCGAAGGGGAGGGTGGGGAGGAGAAAGAGCGTGCTGTTGGCAACAGGCCTCGACGTGATGGCCGCCCCATGGGAGACGCCTGGCGTGGCGGGAAAGGCTCGGGGGAAGGCGGGAGCCACAGCACCAAGAACGCCGTCATCAAATAGGGGCGGCGGATCAGATAAAAGACTCCGGGCCACCCCTTTGGAGTCCTCCTTTAGCTCAAGATAGGAAATATTAGACTTCCTTGTGTCTAAGTCAACAGGGGTCAACCAAATAGGGCACCACTGACATCCGGGGCTGATCTGTGCACTGCAGGATGCTAGCAGCACCCCTGGCTAGACGCCTGCAGTGCCCTTCCCACATACCCCACCACCCTGACAACCCAAAGTTTCTCCAGAAATTGCCAAGCGTCCTTAGGAAGCAAAACCACCCTGGTTGAGCACCACTGTGTAAAAGCACACACTTGCAATCCACAGAGCTGGTCTGGGGGCGTGGGGGAGGGGGGTGGTGGAGCGTTCTTCTCATTAAATGACTTCAGTCTCAGGACAGCAGCTCTGCCTGGAGCTCTGGGCTCAACCTCGAAGACCCCGTGATCGACTGGTAATGCCTGCTGTGCGTAAGGGAAGGGGCAGGGTGGCAGCCTTCCCGCTGTCTCTGCGGGTCAGGGATTCTCTGCATCTCAGTCGCCAGGAAGCTTTAAAAGCCACACACGCCTGGGCTGCAGCCACGGGTCTAGGTTCGCCAATCTGAGCCCAGATATCCCATCTCTGGTTTTGAAAAGCTCCACAGGCGGCTCTGGCAAAAACCCAGGAAAAAGCCCCCCTCCCCTCCAACAACGAGCCTCCAGGAGGCCCGAGAGGCTCTCGGTGCTACAAGCCACATCCACCTCCAGCCCCGAAAGCTGAGTCCCCGGGCAGCCCAGCCAGGGAGCAGCAGCGGCCCGTGGGCCGTACCGGCTTGTACGTTTCCCCTGAAGGGTTAGCTACACTAACACGTGGGAATCCTGGCAGAGCCGTGTCACCTCTTAGTATCTGAGGCAACACATCTTCAGCGAGAGACCTCAAAAGTCACAGGATTACAAATACCTCTGAACACGCCCCTCCCTCTTCATTTTTGACACGGGTCAGTACTTGCCCACGCTGAGAGATTCCCATTCTACTCGATAGCCAAATCTTTGCCGCTGCTCCCAATTTTCTCAGACTTCCGCAGAAAATAACGCTATTCACGTTCACTTAGTTTGAACTCTGCAAATAGCATCGAACCGTCTGGGCCCGGGGTCCGTACTCACGGCAGCCTCCCCCGCCCCCCGGCATCACGCCCAGATCACCCCGGCCCGGCTGACACTCACGGTGAAGAGGTTGGACCGGCGCTTGGACTGCTTGCGGACGGGCGTGGGCGTGTTGGCAGTGGGAGGGACGTCGATCCGCAGCTCCTTCTGGCTGGTGCTCGGAGTCGACGGCACGGAGGAGGAATAGTCGCTTAGACTCCCACCTCCGTTGCTTGTCTGCAACGATTGAAAAACCAAAGTTTTTAATAACGGCATGCTCCGGGAACCAAAGGCCACCACTTCAGCAGGGTCACAACCGACGAGTTAGCGAGTCACACGGGGGAGACTCGTGGGGTTGACAAGCCAGGCAGCTTCTCCAACTCTGCCAGCTGTATTAGCGCCAAGTATTCCGTCTCGTTCTAGAACATACCCGCCACCTCCTCCCGCTGTTCTGCCTAAGAAAAGTGGCTTAAGGAAAAGGGGTCTCTACTATTTAACTCAAAAAAAAATCTGTGAGTGTTAACATGTAGTCGTTTTCTATTTCCTCTGAGAAGCAAAGGGGTTGGTTAAACCGGATGGATTCTTTGGCTCCTTCGCTGCCCTAGAGCAGGTGCGCAGAGAGGGCTGCTCGCCCAGCGGAACCACAACTACCATCCTGAAAACCGACACCTTGAAAACGTGAGGGCTTCTGGATACCTCGAAAGTCACAGACAATTAAAGATACCAAGAGTGAAGACATTAACATTCTTGATTGCATAGGCCCTGACAACAAATAAATAAAAACTTAGATTGACTTCCCAATCAAACTGAAAGCGTGACACCAAACCTTTTCACTCTATGCTAAAAAGAAAAAGAAAAGTGCCAACAGACTACTGCCCAAGAAACGTTCATCACAAAGCAAGTATGGGCAAAACAAAGCCAACCATTTCCTTACCGGGCTTTGGGTTGGGTTCTTAAGAGTGACGATTATTTTGTTTCCTTCTGAGTAAATAATTTAGCAAAATGTTGTTATAAAAAGACAACGGTTTCTAGGGGACCTAAGGGAGATGGCAATTATAATTGAGTGCCGCCACGGAATTTAAGCATATAGTGGGATCAGCCATTAAAATTTACTCACAACCGTCCAACCTACGAGCAGACTAGGACGAGGACCAGAGCAGGGGGATCTATATGGACAGCAGAGCCCGTGGCACACACCCGCCGCGCCACCAGAGCCAGCACGCCCCGCAGCCCAGGCAGCATGAAGACAGAAAACATTAAAGAAGAATTCCCATAAAAACCGCTTGGCCACAGCAGTTTCTGAAGGAAATGCTAAGGCAATTACAACATGCTGTTATTTATTAAGTTGAAAAGAAAAAAAAAAAAATCGACTTCGGCTTTGTCTGTGAACATCACCTACACCTGCTTCTTGGTTCCAGCGTGCCTTTCAGCCCAACTTCTCGCGTCACCTAACGTACCTGGCTTATGTGCACGGCGGACACCTGTGCGGAACAGACAGAGGAATGGCTTGGAGAATTGGGTAACGACTTGCAGGGTCCTATGGACAGCTGCTGCTTCTTCCTTGTGGCAACAATCTTCTGGGCAACTAGTGGGCAGAGAGACAAAAGAAATCAGTGTGAACCGATATCAGACATGAGGAACGCTGCAGAGACAGCTGGTCACTCCTGAAATCCGTTATATTCCCCTTCTTTCACGGTCAAATCGAACTCCTGATTTTTAGCTGGGCACATGACCACCGGAATAAACATGACATTTCCCAGACCCTTGTCCCACCCCCCACCCTGCCGCAGCTGACTGTGGACGTGTGGGCAAGCTCCTCTGGCCAGCGGGACGCCAGCAGAAGGACCACGCCGCAGCTTCTCGCACCCTTCCTTGAGAGGCTGCCCTTGGCCCATCTCTTCTGTCATTTTCCTACTTGCTGCCTGAAATGCACTATAGGTCACCTGCAGCCACCTGGGGCCAGGAGGTGACGTTGGGTGTAGGAGCCAGCCCCTGACTCCACGGAGGCCTCAGGGGAATGGGAAACCCAAAACACACACCTGTCTCCTTTAAGTTATTCCTATAAAATGACGTTTGTCCCAGTTACCTGGAGCAAAAATAATCCTGAATAAGACAGGGAAATTTAACTAAACCCCTACGAAAGCCAAAAAATCCTTTTTGTTAGCAAAGCCTAAAAAAACTACTCTCCACTCTTACACAAGCTATCGTGTAGAATTATATTCAGGGACGTGTAATTATATCAAAGACCTTTTTTTTTTTATTTAAATATATTACTACACACATTGGAAGTTTATCTTAATCAATACAAAGCTAAATGCAACCAGCCATAACTTCTCTTGGCAAATAGGCTGGCTGATAAAGCATATTGAATTTAATTGGAAAGGAAGTCAACGATTAGAAAACTCTTCCTACACCAATAGGTGTCACTGCCGCAGAATAACTACAGTTTTTATTTGAATAGATGTGTGTCTTCGGGGACTAGCTGTAATTAAGCGCAGTGATATTCAATCCTTGCCTTGGCCTAGATCGTTGCTATTTTCAAAGATGCCCACGAACGGGAACACATCATCTCTCCCCAGCAATAGGTTATAACGTGGAAGGAGCCCACATCGTGTTTGCAGATAATTCCTTTTCCAAATGAACGCAATTTTAATAAGGAACTGGTTTGTCCACAGCTTACGGTTTTCATGTAAATGAATGACGGTATAAATGTGATTAAGTGAAAATGCAATATGTAAAAAATGGCTCACAGAGACCAAGCGGCAGCTTCATTAGTTACACCCCACCTCCAATAGGCTCCTTATCATCCTGAAAGGATGATATCAATTAATTTATCTTCCCGTAGTGTATTGATCATAACCTTCATCAGCTAATCATGTTTAAATTACAGAGGAATATCGCAGCACTCTGTCATTTCAAAACCATTGGCATATTGATCTGGGTCTTTGAAGACGTATATTAGAATATTTTAAAAATCATTATGTGAACTCCAAAAATAAAATCTAAGATCAGATTTCAACAGCGCGGCAAAAGGCATCACATAGGTGTACTGAAATTCCAAAGACCAAAGGTAAATTATAACTGAAAATCTTGATTGCTTGGTGATTGCCAATTTATTTCTTTTTTATTTTAAATAGCAAAAAGGGATTTTTGATTATCAACTATACTGCATTCTTATTTGCTTCCAGCCTCAGAGTTCCTGTTCAGCTCGATGGCCACACTGACTTTAACCTTTAAACTCATAAGAAATGCACCAATGTCAGAATTAAACAGGACTAGAATGCATGCTTTGGGAGCTTTGTAGACATTTTCTATAAATGTTTCCCATGCTAAGGGAAGATTTGAGAAACTCCCAAAGACAAGTCAAATATGTTATTAAAACACTCATCTTATGAAACTTCAAATGCAGGTGAATGTTCTGTCCTTCTTACTTGGAGATCAGGAAGAGCAAATTCATGAGTAAAGTGAATATTTTCACAACAAAGCCTCTCACTGAACTATAGACAGGATATACAAAGCATGAGCCACCGGTTAATTGCTAAAATTCTCCTGTCCATTCATTTATTGTTCTACCACATTAATTACAAAAAAATGAAGTCACAACATCCAGTGATTGGTAGCATTTTTTTCTACTTTACCATGGGCTTTTTTTTTTTTCATATTTGTCCTACTTCCCATCTGCCCATAATTTTTACATCTTTCCTACTCCCTTACACAAATGAAGGAAAGAAAATGATTTATAAATATTTTGTTCAAAAATATATAGACTGCTTTAAACCATAGGATACTCCATAAGAATAAGGGAAAACTTGTTTAACGAAAAACAAAAAGTAGTTGACTTAAAGAGGAAGAGGAGGAGGAAGAGGAAAGGGGGTGAGGGACTGTTCTGGAAGTCTTCTCCATCTCTCCCCCCCCATGAGTCAAAGGCTCACTAACAGCCACAGATTTGCTAACTGCTGCTGTTACTTATGTCCCAGGGAGGGGGTTGTACCTCTGGATACCTCACTTAAGACATCCCTAAATGAACTGTTTGAATGGAAAAAAAACTAGAGTGACAACCGCCATCTAAGAAAGTATGGTGGCCCACGCCTCACACCACCA